TTCCCTACAAGTAAAAATAAGAATAACCCTAAATTAGAGTAAAAGAGTCACCTTGGCAGCCTAAGACCTTGGTTTCCATACAGAATTTTCTGAGTTTACATGAACAAGAGAATTGAGGGGAAATGCTACTCAGAGGTCTGATAATGAATGACCCTTCAGATAGTGTACAGAAATTTTAAATGTAGATGACCAAAATTTGACAAAAATTTGTGTTCTGCTTACAGGCACCCCCAGGCCTGACATGGCTGGTAAGAAAGCTTTTATTGTTATGTGGTAAAGTATTTTTTTAGAGTAATTTAAAATTTCATACTGTGATTGACTTTGTATACATTGTTTTACCTTCCATCATAGAAAATCAATCCAAACTACTTAAGACAAATAAATGGAAAACATTTAAAAATGTTATCTGAAAGGATATATTCTTAGCTAAAGATATTTGGAACTATATATGCAGCAAATGTTGACGGTAAATAAATACATTTCAATAACCTTCTTTTTCCTTTGGAATATTTCAGGCCACTCACTAAACACTTTATTGTCTCATAGGCTAGTACTATAAGAAGAAAATGACTAGAACTTTGTGGCTGCCTTAATAATCAACAGTGATATTCAAATAGGTTCTGGGTTCAGAATTGTATGGAATAATCAAAACCAGTCAAAATGATTGTCTCAAATAAGTATGGGGAAATAGACAACCATTCTCTCAATCTCTGGGAGGAATCATAAAATAATTCCTTCTTCACGTCTTAATATGATTAAGTACATTCTTGATCTTTTTCTTTTTTTTTTCTTTTCTTGTTTCAAGTAGACATCCCACAGTAATGATGATTAAAGGTCTAGGAAGAGATCGAAACATCATAGCTAATGGAATGAATCTTTTGTGCTTAAACTCTCTGAGGGGACGAGACAGAGGAGGAGACAAAGGGGATGAATCAATAATGGATACTTATGGAACATTTGAACCCCCCGGGGGAGAGTCTATCCCACAATACCTTCATGATATCCTGCTTTTCGGGTGCTGCACATTGCTGGTAATCTCGATGGTTAGGAAGCTTTTCTACAAACAAACTGCAGAAAAAGAAAACACGTCCTTAGCATTAAATGACAGAAAAAGCTCAATGATGACTTCTAATTTGAGAATGAGCCTCCTTTTCAAAAAGGACATGGTTAATAACATTATTTAATCTATATTCTTTTTTTTTTTTTTTTTTTTTTTTTTT